TATTATGTTGACATATGTGGCTGGGCAATGGAGTAGCAAAAACATCACAAAGAAATGGGATTTGGGATACTGTTCTGCTCCTGGTCAAGGCACAATCACAGAGGTGCTGATGACAGTAATATTAGTATTCCCTGAAGTTTCACTTTCTGTGCTCATGCTCTGGGCCACTGGCTCCATGGTTCTCATCTTGTACCGGCACAAGCAGAGGGTCCAACACATTCACAAGAATAATGTCTCCCCCAGATTCTCTGCTGAGTCCAGAGCCATAAACAGCATCCTTGTCCAGATAAGCACCTTTGTGTCCTTTTTTACCCTCTCTTCCATCTTTAACATTTTAACTTCTTTTTTAACTAATTGTAGTTGGTGGTTGGTGAACATTTCTGCCCTACTTTTGATGTGTTTTCCAGCTGTCAGCCCCTTTCTGCTCATGAACCATGACTCCACTGACTTCAGATTCTGCTTTGTGTGGATAAAGAATAGAAAATCCCCTAATGTTACCAGAAATAAGTATATTCTATGTTTTTTCACAATATTTGGTTATTTATTCACTCATCCGCCTCAAAAACTCAACACAGAATCTTAAGGAGAAGCTCCATGTCTTCCTAATATAGTCCGTAATGGGTACTGAGGTTTCTTCAATGGCTGAATGTAAAAACTAAATGTGCATAGAAGAGGTGAACAGAGCAGGTTAGCCTCATCCTGATATATAGGGTCCTGTTGATAGTATTCTTAATTGAATGTTGCTTGAGGTAAATCAAATGGACTTGGTCCCAGCCCTTTGTCAGATTACTGTATGAAGAAATTGTGTATTCATGGGGAAATTGTGTCAGGAGCTGATAAGGTCAAGAAGTGTGTTGAATATTGTTTGAAGACAATTTTCCGTGGGTTTCTAATGTATGTGCATGCCTTATGGACAGAGGTGTTTAAGACTGTTTCCTGAGATGTTTGTGTAAAAAGAACCTCAGAAGATAGGGACAGTGTCACCTTCTGGAACAGTAGACAGGCTTATTTGCTGTACATAAAAATAAAAATAATATCTTCAAAATGTGGAGCAGGTTTGTTAGCAATTCATTTAAAAAAAAAAAAAAAGTTTTCCTTTACACAAGCTTTCTCATGAGCAATGCAAACCCACTGCCTGTGAACATTCACCTGACCCTTTCTGCACTCCGGCGACTGGAACTGGGGTTGGGGGCGGGGG